GTCAAATTGCACATAATTCTATATTCAGCATACTGCATTGCCCTAATTTTCAGACAATTCAGGTACCACATCTTGCTGTCGTTCCAGAAAGACTGGACACAATTCACAAGGAAAACAACCATTCAGTAAATGAAACTTTAAAACTTTTCTCATGTATATTCTGTTCTGAAACAGAATTCTTTTTTATGTATGATAAAGCAAATTTCCTTCTGGGCTAAAGACCTCATGAGGGATTGTTTCCCTGCAGATATGTAGAAGTAGGCCTAAATTACTGCAAAATACCTAAAGGCACCAGGGCCTGTCTGATCTTGGAAGATAAACTGCTTAGTACTTGGATGGGAGGCTGCCAATAAATACCAGGTGCTGTGGGCAATATTTCAGAGGAAATAGCTGGCAAAACCAGCTCTAAATACTCCTTGCTTAGGAAAACGCTATGAAATTCATAGAATCACAATGACTCGGCAGGCGACTTAAAGAGTTAACCCATTTTAACATAACATACAGAGTTTAAACGGGTTTTATGCAGTCGTTTTATTATATCCATCAGTACTCTTCCCTGTGGTCCAGTTCTTCCTTTTATGTTTACATTAAAGTAAGTCCAATTGAGCAAAGATTCCCAGCAACATTAATTACAAGTTTCCCCTCCTAGCAGCCTAAGCCTCCTTTATTGCTTCCTGATGAGCAGGGGAGGGGGATTAATAATGAATAATCTATTAACTGCCCTTGAGCAGCCTGGCGTAATTGCTATGTTTCCATGGGGAGAGGGGAAGGAGGTTGTAACTTTGAATTTCTTCTGTTCTATACATGTTTATTTTTTTGTTTGTGTATGCTTGTTCAATGTTTATGTATATTGTAATAAAATTATAGTGAAAGGGTACTGTAGAGGAAAACTAAGAAGACAACACAATTGCAAATAAAAATTGATATGAGGACAGTTAAGATGCACAGTTGATTACTAATCCAATCCATGTTCACTATGAAACAGAGAAATAGCCAAAACCTGCAAAACCGGAAACTTTTAATTAACAACATAGAAGTCTTTTAAACCCCAGCAGAGCTTTGATTCGGAAATTGCCTTATGTCATGAAAAAGTGCCATAAATCAAGAAAACACAAGAAATGTTATAATGTGGCAGGGCAGGTGATAATATTCTTCAGATGTTTCATAAAAGGTGACTGGGGATGGCAAATCCAGAGAAAAGGCTTAATTTGGATGCAACCCAAGATTATAATTCTTGTTTCTTTGTCCTGAGTTTTCATCAAAGAAGAATGATTGCACCTTCTATTTCAAATGCTGATTTGTGTGCACTTTTTGCCTAAATATCCAAAATGAGTTGAGAGATCACTAAAGTTAGTAATAGTTTTTAAAAAACCTTCTAAGAGTGGTAGCCTTTCAGACCATCTTGATACGAAAGGAACACACATTGTGACCACTAAAAGCTGGGTGGGAGCAGAAAGGATGGGGGCATGGCTCACCTAAACACAAAGCATTTTCCTAAAGAACAGGGGTACTGTCATGAAGGAGGGAGGTAACATTAGGTCAGTGAGTACTGGATATGCTCAATTGAGTTGCAGATCTATCCAATCAAACCAAGTATAACTCTCAAAATTTTAGTAAAAAAAAATCAAACCAAAAAAACCTGGATCAACTTATCCATAGATCAGTGTCAGGACTGTACCTTGACTCTTATTTTAAAAAGGTTGCCATCCCCTTCTCTGAATAGTGTGCTGAAATGCAAGAGCTTATTTTGTCCTGGTGAAACTGAGAAGTGCTAACCACTTGGACTCTCTCTGCTGGGGCACCGCCTAATGTCTTTTTGAATGCCTAGGTAGTAGTCGGGGGCCTGAATGGCATTTTTGCTTTTCCGTTTTTGCAGCATGACCCTCAAACTATCTATGGGTCATAGCAAAGTTTTAGCCCCATAAGTTGCCTTCAGCTTATATAGGAAGTTGACTTATACATCAGTATAAATGGCAACTGACTCTGTTTTTAAAAAAGTAGTAAATATTGTTTTTGTAGTGAGGGAAAGAAACTATTTTGGTAAACTGGAGAATTTAAAAATAAAAACTGCTATGTAAAACATTCAACTTCACTGCTTTGTGAGCAAGAGTGTGAAATCAAGGGGGTTGGAAAGAAATTTTGATGGTTTGGAAAGTTCTCACTTCGCCAGTGCACATGTCTTTCAAGTTTTGAATGTGAGAATGAGGCTTACAAAACGTCCTGATTTCAGCATACCAAAGCAGACAAAAAACAAAACAAAAAACCCAACAACATTGTAAAATAACTTCTGGTAACGCTATGTACATTCCATTCTTGCCTGAAGCTGATCACCTGTGAACATAATTGAGCAGACTTTGCTCACTTTATATCTAGGAGATGTTTTAGCCGTGTTTTCTGAAAAACACTTTCAGGCTGGATCTACACTGTTATATAATTCAGATAAAGCAGATAATCCAGATGCTTAGTCAGCTGGTAAGTGGGCTTTTAGGATGAGGTGTTTGACTAGACTCTACCATGCAGCACTGTAGTTATGGTAGCACCATGGTACTGTAGTTACAGTGCTATCTATACTATATACAAATGTATGGATCTAGAAATGTTAGTTAAAAAACTCCCCAAAGCTGCATCTATTTATCCATTCTTCAGTGTAAGTACTTCACCAAACGCTTATAAAAAAGGAACCATCACTTCTCTGAGTAGGGCGGTTAAAGAAAGAATTTAGCTGACCCCAGGAGAACCTAAAAGACACACCAACTTCCTTACTCTCTCCGCCATTGCACTACTTCTGGCCTTTTTGAATCCCTGAGTGGTAAAATAGTGGCAGTGGCCAAGATGGCTGGCTCCTGGGGTGCTATAGGTTCTTTTCCCTTTCAAAAAGACTTATCCACAGGGTCATATCAAAGATCATAATTTGACCCTGAAACCTTTGACCTATACATGAAGTCGACTTCTACATGAATATATATGGCAATGCTCTGGTTCTCACAAAAGTGTTGCAACAGATAGAATACAGAAAGAACTTCTATTGTTGTGTTTTACGTTGGGCAGTAGCCCATGTTTGAATTTAGAACCGTCTTTGGAAATACATTAACATAGAAATCGGTTTGAGGTGGCATGGGCTATTTTCTCTCTACTTCTGACTGCTTCAGAGCAGGGCAACACTGGTAGACAATGGGAACTTTGGATTAAACTTATCCAAGACCAAAGAGAACCACTTTGGAAAACCAGGAAAAATATTTGGTGCAGTTGTGTTGGCTGTTCAGCAAGAAAAAAAGAAAATCCCCCAAAGAGTGATATTTTTATTGGCCAAACAGAATGTGCAAAATACATCATGCAAGCTGTCTAAACTCCACTCGCTTCTTTGTCAGGCAAAATATGTTTTTAAAAAATCCTACGGGTGTACAAAAAGGAAGATGGTAAAGTCACAGACCTGCATTTTCTATCCAGTGTTGTTTCTTTTGTAGTTATGGAGGTATCTCAATGCAAGGAGCCCCCGGTGGTGCAGTGGGTTAAACCCCTGTGCCGGAAGGACTGAAGACCGACAGGTCACAGGTTCGAATCCGGAGAGAGGCGGATGAGCTCCCTCTATCAGCTCCAGCTCCCCATGTGGGGACATGAGAGAAGCCTCCCACAAGGATGGTAAAACATCAAAAGATCCAGGCTCCCCTGGGCAATGTCCTTACAGACGGCCAATTCTCTCACACCAGAAGTGCCTTCCAGTTTCTCAAGTTGCTCCTGACATGGAAAAAAAGTTACTCCATGGCACATTTACACCAGCTAAACTATTCAGTGTAGCTGAGCTGGTCGAGTAATGAGTTTGGCCAGTATCTATTATCTCTCAGAGTAAGGAACTGGCAAAACCACCTCTGAGTATTCCTTGTCCAAGAAAACACTATGAAATTCATAGAATCGTAGAGTTGGAAGAGACCACATGGGCCATCTAATCCAACCCCCTGCCATGCAGGAAAAGCACAATCAAAGTATTCCTGACAGATGGACATTCATGGGAATCACCATAAATTGGCAGGTGACCTGAAGGCACATATGCGCACATCCAGCTACAATTGGGAAAGAGTTACAGAAGGTAACTCTGTAACTTATCCTCCCACAAGGATGATAAAACATCAAATCATCCGGGCGTCCCCTGGGCAACGTCCTTGCAGACGGCCAATTCTCTCACACCAGAAGTGACTTGCAGTTTCTCAAGTCGCTCCTGACACGACAAAAAAATATAATGCAGGCAAAGTCCAACCCCTCTCTTAGCCATTCGGAGACCAGGGAAAGGGGGCAATAAAAGACAGGCATTAAAAATTAAACTCTATTGTCAATAGAATAGTTATTTCCTCTGAGACTCAGGTTGTCCCTGTTCTGTGCAAAGTTTACTGATCTTTTCTCAGGCAGAGAACATTGAATTCTTCTAGAAGGACTTGTGTCATTACCTCTGGAAAAAAACTTTTAAAGAGCTGCATAGGTAAAAATGTTCAATTATAGTCCAAGTTCAGGAATGTTACCTTTTGAGACAAAACAAACCACCTTCCAACAGTTTAGTTCCAGTCCTTTAGCTCCATCTTCTTAAAGTCTTCCCTGTGGCAGAAAAAATTGGTATTTTCAAATCCAGGAAAAATATTCCAGGGTTGCCACACTGACCAGTCAGCAAAATACAGCAATATCTGCCAAAGAGCAGAACTTCTTTTGGCTGAAATGCACAAAATACACCATGCGAGCTTTTGAATCTCTGCTAGCTTTTTCGTGATGCAGAACAAAGTGTTTGTAAATACAATGTTTATTTTTGCATGAAAGCACAAATAATCAGCACATGAAATGTTAATCATAGAGGTGTCACAGTTATAGATTCCATTATAGTAATACAAAACCGGGCTTCAGCAGGTGTTTTAACAAACATCACATATGACAATAAATCTACGACAACATGAATTTTATATAGTAGTGTTGTACTTCATACAGATGATATTTTAAAATTGTATTATCATTATTATTAGGTTCAAGGTGCAGGCTTTCGGGGCTGGAAAGAGGTAACATCCATATTCAATAAGGAGGATGAGCAACAATTGCTAACAGGAAGTAAATCTCCAAAATCCAAAGGGTATGTATATAGAGGAGTAGTCAATGATGCAAAAATGCAAAGGGCTGTGCCTTTGACAGAGTTGTTTATCAAGTTGCTAAAAATATTAAAGCTGAAATAAAAACTTATCAGGTTCAATTTTTTACGATTAGACACTTGTTCTATTATAAGGTTCATAGTCACACTGTCCTTCAAATGAAAACACCTTGTTTAAACTAAGGTGCCACAGTAGAACAACCCCCCTCCCTTAAAAAAAAGCCATCCCTAAACATCAGTTATTAGGGTGCCAGTTGTGCCCATACCTTGGGAAGTCAGACTTGGCCATAGTAGTCCATGCTCAGGTTACATCCCAAATAGATTACTGCAACACACTCTATATGGGGCTGCTTTTGAAGACTGTTCGGAAGCAACAAATGGTCCAATAGGTGGCAGCCACATTGCTCACCGGAGTGGCATACAACTCCCTTGTTACATCAGCTCCACTGGCTGCCAATCTGCTACTGAGCACAATTCAAAGTGCTGGCTTTGGCCTATAAAGCCCTAAATGGTTCTGAATGTATCTTCCACTATGAACCACTGTGGAGTTTAAGATCATCTGAGGAGGCTCTGCTCTCAGTCCCGCCTCCCTCGCACGAGTGATTGGCAGAGACGAGAGAGGGGGGGCCTCAGTGGTGGCCCCTCGACTGTGGAACTCCCTCCCCAGGGATATTAGATCAACCCCCTCCCTCCTAACCTTTTGCAAGAGAGTGAAAACATGGCTTTTTTACCAAGCCTTTAAAGAACTTGTGCAATAGTTACACTTGGAACAATATGCAATGACTATTGGAATGGCCCGGATTACAATTATGGATTACATGTTTAACTCTGAATGTATTGTTTTTAAATGTTTTAATTGTTTTTAATGTACTTTTTGATTCTATTTTAATATTTATTTAAGTGTACATTGTGTTTTAAGGCATGGAATCATTGCCTGTATGTAAAGCTGTCTTGAGTCCCCTCCGGGGTGAGAAAGGCAGGGTAGAAATGTCGTAAATTAAATATATAAATAAATAAACAAACATGGGATGGCATTAAAAAAAAAACAAAGCCATTGGTTGGGACCAACCCAGTGTATTTAAATTCCTAGCTAACTCAGTTCGGTCTATCCAGTGTTTCGTTTCAAATAAAATGCCTGTTTTGTCTATTACTGAAAGATATAGGCATAACAACACCTAGGAGATGACTGCTCACTTTTCTGCTGCCCTACCCAATGTTGCCTGATATGATTGTATTGGTTTTGTGTTCCATCTATTTTAAATGTATGCCATTTTGCTTAATCTTATTTCATTCTGTGTTTTTGTCATTTTCAAAGTAGAATAAAATGTTTAAGTAAACAGGTATATGAGAATAATGGCAAAATTACACTAGTCATCCTTTGCAAAGGTATTTCTTTTATTGGTCTTTCCCCCTGCAAAGTGTTTTTTTCTTATAAAACCACTTTTTTTGTTTATTAGAACAAGTTTAAAATTAAAAGAGGACGTGAAGTCAGAAAAGAAACCTGGATTTTGGGACAGTTTGGTAACAAAACAGAATATCACATCCAGGAAGCCAGATGAGATTGAAGGATGGGAGCCGCCACAGATTCCTGCTGGAGACCCCCTCAGTGATGCTGGAAATGCTTTAAGTGACTATTCCTCTTGGTCGGGCTGGGAGGATGAAACCAAAGGATCCACAAAATACACAAACCTGGCAAGTTCAGGAAATAGTTCACGGTGGAGTATCAAATCAGCTGGGAGATTGGTTAGCATTAGGCGACAAAGCAAAGGTAACCTTACAGATAATTGGGAAGAACTGGAATGAACCAAAGAATGTGAAATGTTCTCCAAATGATTATAGATTGTGTGATTTACATATATCCTCAAACCAAAATCAAACTGCTTATTATTGCACCTTTTTACAAATAATATTATTCAAATTGTCCTGTAGTTTGCTCATATTATTGCAAGTTGCTTACACTTTGTGTTTTCCATGCTGAACAAAAGTCCAAATCCTGTTTTGTAATTTTGTTTCACATATTCATACTGTCTGGTGTCTTTCTTTTTTTAAAAAAAAAAAATGAATGTACACAGTGGATTAGTATTGATTGCCTTATACAAGAACTTCATGAATATGAAGTTTTAGATTTCTTGGTCTTTGGACATGATTTTATATTTGAATGCTGCCCTTGCTATTTAAAAGTACTGATTTGCAGCTAACACTGCATTGCTTCATCTTACTACATTCCTTTCCTTGTCCTTAGCATGAACGTATGATTCTCAGGCTGGTGCATCCGAGATCCTGCATTCTCCCAATGTACTAAATTGTACATGACATGCGAAAATATCATGGGCTTTTCTTCTTCTGCTACAAAGTTTTCAAAGATCAGTAAAACAAATTTCCTCTATATTATTATTATTACTTTAATTTATAATTCTGCTAAAACAGTGTTGCAATTACTACAAGCCAAAATTGGAAAAAGAGCAAAGGCAATAGCTAAGGTCTGGTTTTTATATTTTCAGCTTCCTTGTAATAAATATCAAAAACTGATTCTGAATTATTGGGCTCTATCTTGCAGAAATAACAGAAGCAAATGCTGGACATTTGGATAACTTACATCACAGAGGCCCCTTCCACACAGCTGAATGAAATCCTCCATTATCTGTTTTGAACTGGAATACATGACAGTGTGGACTCAGATAACCTTATTCAAGGCAGATATTGTGGGATTTTCTGCCTTGATATTCTGTGTTATGTGGCTGTGTGGAAGGGCTCAGAGATACTTCCCATGGCACTGCTGTTTGTCAGCTGGCTTGCAGGGAAGTAAACGTTCTCCACAACTACTACATCATTCTGGGAATATAAGAATCAGGCCTGAGCTTCGGAAATTTGAATCTATGCATCTATGTTCATCAGATTAGAGCAGTGGTTCTTCAACTTTGATCCTCCAAATGTTTTGGATATCAGCTCCCTGAATTTCTGACCACTAAACATACAGAAAATCAAAGTTAGTAACCATTGAAGTGGGAATTGTGTGGTTCTCCAGTCATTCTTGAACTGCATCTCCCAGTGGCCCAAGCCAGAAAAGACAAAAGAGATGTATTTCAACAATATCTAAAGAGCTACACGCTTCTCCAAGGATGCATTTTCATCTTTTGTCCCTTTTCTCCCTGAACAACAAAGTAGTATTGAAGAGTGTCCTCCCTTTGTATTTTCAGAGTGACAGAAGTTAACAATGTGGTTCTTTTATGTACATTTTAGCAGTTGCATTTGCTATTGTGAATTTGCTGTTGTGATTTGCTGTCTTACCAGTCGCTGCTATATATTTTTATTAATAATAAAGAGCTATGCATTATAGTGCACATGGGAGAGTAGGGAAGTACTGTAAAGTATGGGATTCTTTCTGCCCCCAATGGAGTATTTTTAACAAATTCATTTTATTGTAAATTTCCCAGTTTATGAGACTAAAGGATATCGCATACCGCAGTGTGCCTACATACCACTGTGATATGAGAAGGAAAAAGGTCAGGCATATGATCTGAGCAACTCCCTTTCATTCAGTTTACAAAGAAAAAGAGTATCTGATCCATGCACACCTTTTTGCCTCTGCCATAACCAGATTCTGATCTCAAGTTGAATGGATTTGAAATGTAATAAAAGGTCATATTTGCCACATAGGTCTATTTTAATGGCCTCTATAACTGTGCATCAGACGTTTTTCTGTTCTTTTGATGGCTGTGTGTATGTATGTATATATGTGCTTCCCTCAAAAGATGGAAATCTAACTCACAAAAAAATGATTTTGCCTCAAAATGTTGTTCCTTTGAAGAAGACAAGGGAACAAGTGCTGACGCCACTTGGAGGAATAGGAGCAAGTTGCACATCAGAGGGAATGTGCAAGACAGTCACTAGAAAGCCATCTTTCAGTTAACTACATCCACTACTGATTTGAAATACAAACAAAAATGTTTAAAGTGCCTTGTTCCAATCCTGTAAATGCTCGGTTAGACATTTTAATCACTTTCTTCCTGTTCCAGATGCATATTTGTTTAATTTTTGCCTTAAGATTCTGTGAATTGAATGTTTAATCCAAGTTGCTAGAATAGTTGATTTCCCTCAGTGAGAGAGACCTTTACTTGACACTGATAGCAAGCCAGTTCACTGCTGCTGATATAATGAGCAATATTGACACCAAAAAAAACAAACAAACAAAGCCCCACGAAGTTCACAATTTGCTTTCAACTATGAGCAATTTTTAAGTAAAGTGAACTAGTTTGTAACTATGCAGAGAGTTCCCATGTAATTCTCCCCTTTCAATTTAATCACCTAATCCAGATAAAGGATAGAATTCATTTAAGGCCATCCGCTGTGTGGAGAAGGAACAGTTCCACAGACCCTCAGGATCTGCTTCAGATTATTCCCCCTGGGGTCATGTAGAATCCTGTATTGAGAAAGAGCAAGGGATTATCATTGTCTTGACATATATTGTCCGTCTGTCCCCCAACCCACCCTCAGTAGCCTTCATTAATATAAACACACCTGGCCTCCTTCAGATGTATAAATACTCTGCAATGTCTTTGAACTTCCTTAATCTGTTGGTCCCTCTCCCTTCCTGCCTCTGCTCATGCTAAGACATTCCTGTGCCAGCAGGAGCTGGTGACTCCTGTGCAGATTGCCGGATTCCTGGACTAATCATTCCTAACCGGAGGGTGCTTGCGTCAGAGCAGAGCCATCCTCCTGTTTTGTCCAGTTAGCTTGCAACTTGGGAACTGGGTTATCAGATCACATCATCTTGTTTCCTTTTGATTCCTGAAGAAACCAACTGCATCTGTACTTTTCTAAAGGTTCTCTTGATATGGCACCTCTTTAGGGAGTGGTTTAACATTTGGATCACCAAACCTCTAATAAAGAATGTAAATTTGTTTAGGCAAGTCAGTAAAAAATAAGTTTTATTCCATTCAGGTCAGCAAAAGAGTTTCACTTTTTCTTGTTAAAGAGGATATCACTTCATTGGCTGTCTGTCCTCCCCCATCCTGGCATATGTCATTGTAGAATATAGTCACTTCTTTATGTAAAACCTTTTCTAGTTTACACATTATGGAAGACCTTTCTATATCAGGAGTAGAAACATGTCATTCTGGCCCATGTTGAGGGCCCAAAAAATGATTGTGGACGAGATCAGGAGCTCAGGGATTTAGAGAAGCTTTTTAATACTGTGACAGGTGGAGATTCTGCCTCGTATGTTACGCAGTCAAGTGCCTGTACGTCACCTTGTTTGTGATGCATGGCTCTTTTCTTTGCTGAAGCGAAGTTCATACAATTTTGCTGTTTTTAGAGAGCCTCTGAAGGGTACAGCTGCAAAGTGGAGCTTATCGTAATAGCAAACATACAACATCTGGATCCAGTATGTTGGATCAAGCTGTTGTTGTTTGTGCACCTGACGTGTGATGCTGAAGCTGAAGCTTGAGAAGCAGGATGGATTTGTCTTATGTTTCCTCCATTTCTCGAAGATCTATTTTGTCACTGCTCACCGTCACATGTTTGGTTAGTCTTTATCACAGCTGGCACTAGTCCTGTAGACTACAAGGATGCCTAGCCCTACTTTCTCCTTTTTGTTGTCATGGCATACCTTGCTGTGAAGGCCACCAAACAGTGGTGGATGCCCTCTTTGGCACTTTTGCCCAATGACGTGTTGTCCTCCCATTAGTTCTTAATACAAAATCCTGGGTCCTCTGGATGGCAGGTCCATAGGTCAGGCCTCAAGGAGGAACCGGGGATACATACAGTGTGGCCTGAATTTATTTAAGCTATGAAAACATTGGGTTTTTAAAAAAGATGGGACATATTCCACCCAAAGTTCTGTAATTTCATACCTTATTGATTTCTAAGGAGTTCAGTGGCCAGAATCCAATTATAGACTCAACTAGCATAGGCCCATTGAATCAATGAAATTTGCATTCAGTGCTTTACCAATGTCACGTTGAGTCAATGTGTCTACTGCAATTAGCACTAACTAATGGATTTTGGCCAATATGTTTAATCCTTGCATTGAAATTAAGGGGATGGAAATGCCCTTCACTTTGGCTGGGTCATGCCCATGTTTTCCTAAAGCAGAATTGTTTAATTTTAACAGCAGTGATTAAGTTTTAATATAATTTATTGTTGTGCTATTGTAGAATTATTTGAGTTTTATCTTGTGTATTTTTATTTGTTTGATGAATGTTGACTCTTTCTTTTTTTAAAGAAATATCACTACCTAGACTTTTTGGGATCTTCCTTTAAATGGTGTATGACTTTCCTCTTCTGCTTTGTAAAACTTTTTGATTTAGTGTCCACTGGTTTAAAAGAAGATACCATTGTGATTGTATTCAAAAATTGCACATATGTAATGAATCAACAATTGTTTGTGTTGCCTTTTCTCTGTATCTATGCATAAATTCCTAGCTTAAACTCAAAGAAGGCGAAATGCTTTATGGGGCTGCAGATAGTCACATAATGATCACATTTCCTTTTCTCTAGTATTTTGTTAATTTCACTTCGAAAATATAGTATTTTCACAGATGAATAAAAAATGAGTTGAAACAAAAGTAATGAAGCTCTTCATTTCATTTTGTTAATTGTGACTGTTTCTTTAAGAAGTTGTCCCTGAATACTTTAAACAATCTTTCCCAGCTGTCCCTTTTGCTACATCTGTCTATGTTTCTGTGGTTTGATATCTCAGCAACAGCATGAGAGCTGGCTTCCTGGTGCAAGGCAAAGAGCAGGTGAGTACTCTTCTAGCTGCAATAGGTGCAGGTGATGCATATAGCTGATTGCTTAAGGGAAATAGAAAAGGCTTTGATGCATATCATGGGAGTTTTAGTAACATCTTGCAAAAGCAGATGTGTCCAGTGGACTCTGAACCTTTTGCCAAATTTGAGCAAAATACCAGCTGTTTACCTTCTTTCTTTGGATTCCTATAGTCTCAGTACAAAAATACATTAAATTTTGGGTAGTACACCACAGTGAGAGCCAGCATGGTGTAGTTGTTAGAGTGTTGGATTGTGCTACATTGAGACCAGGGTTCAAATCCCTGCTCAGCTATCAAACCTCTTGGCTGTCCTTTGACAAATCACACACACTTAGTCTCAGAGGAGGCAAAGGCAAACCTCTTAATAAAGTACACTAAGAGAACCCTATGATAGGTTTGCCATGGGGTTACCATAAGTCAGAAATGAAGTCACATAAGAAAAGAACAACAACAACCTCAGCAGTTTAAGAACAGGAAACATTAATAGATAAAAATGAGAACCCCTATAGTATTCCACTATTCTTGCAAAGTCATAATACTTTGGAAAATGCAATAATGTTCCCCAAATGCTGAAGCATGAAGATAAGATACCAGATATGTCTTCTTGGAGAGGGGCTGTTCTGATGCCATTCACTTTATACACAAAGATGATGGCATCTAGGAATGAAGCCAGTGTACAAGCAATCTCATGCAGGAGAGGAATAATAACCTTGCTGTTGGTTTCCCTCTGTCCTTTCTGATTTGGATTTTGATGGAAATCTTTCTGTGAAATGCCACTTTTGGGCATTTACATGAAGCATGACCAAAGGTACCGTGTGCCCTACCTTCCTCCTAATGATTTCCTTGTGTGTGGCTAGCAAAGCCGTAACATAAGATTCTCCACAAGCAAAGCCTCACCACCTCAGTCCTTGAATGCTGAGAGTGCAGTTTCTCTTTACATAGTGATATTTTGTTTGGCACACTGTCCTGTAAGTTATGGATTCCGAACCTAGAGTTATGGACCCATAACTGTTCCATATTCAATAAGACTATTTATATTTATTTACCACATTTGTACCCTGCCCTTCTCACCCTGAAGGGAACTCAGAGCGGCCTTACAAAGGCAACAATTTGATACTGTGCAATGAAACAATTACAATACACAAATACATAAAAAATATAGTTTTATTGAAGGACTACATAAATGCCCCTTAAGAGGTCACCTTAACAGCCAGCTGCCAATCAGGTGAAGAAAGGTTGTTTAGCTGCTGGTTAAGTACTTTCCAGGCCTCTCCTGCCAGCAAATGAGGCTGTGACAGTTGGAAATGGGACCTGTACCACACTTCCTCATCAAAACCTTGTTTTCTGGTGAGATAGCCTGGGAATGTTATCTTTCTTAGGGTGCTTCCAGGCAGCACCAAAACGCGAGATTAATATGCAGGATAAACAAACCCGGGACCTTAGAGCAGGTCCCCACACAGTCCTGCCGGTCCCAGGCTTTCTTCCCCAGCCATCCTAACATCACTTCTGTGTCTTGGGATAACATGGAGGGCGGACAAGGGACATCTGCCAGAAGTTATTTTAAAATCACTCAGTTGTGCACTGATGCTTATATGCACTTGTGCAAATATCCTAAAATAAATATGGAGAGATTCCTATGTTCACATATACACATCGCCACATAACAGCGGGAAATATATATATATTTTAAATGCCTCTTTCCCCAATTATTTAATGTTATAAAGCTTTTTAAAAAAATCACTTTCAGCAACTTCTAATGGCTCTCCGATTTTCCTCTCTTGAAACCAGCTGGAAATGAGCTGTGTCTCCGTGGGAGCCTGAAGAGCTGATCAGCTGTTTCAGGCTTTTTAAAACCAGCACAGGTGGAAAGCAGTCTCCAGAGGGGATAAAGAAGGAAATCCTAAACTTCACATGACTGCAGGGTCACACAGTCATGGGAAAATCCACTTTTTTCATCCAGAACCGGGATAAAGGAGGACCTTTTTGAATCAGGTTTTCCCTCCATTGCTGTGACTGAGTGCACCTTTAGTACAAATGTCATCTGGCCATCCTCCTTTGTAACCCGTTCTCTCCCGAATTGTAGGTACTGTGTGGAAGCACCCTTAGAACCTCAATTTGGAACGTGTCTTTGTTATGGATACAACTGCTGCTTATTAAGGTGGGCTTGAGGAATTAGGCCCAGAGCTGTTACTTGGTTATACTATGTAACAAGTTGTTGATATCCGTGTTTTTTTATTGTTTTTTTCTTTCACAATGAGTGGTTTCTGTGCACTAAAGACATACCTTGTATATGTGTACATGGGTATAAATACCCATACATTTGTCTTCATTCCATGCATGTGATGAGGTAGACCTAGCTGCCACAAACATCTTTCTCTCTGTTAAATCTCAAAGATGCAACTTTGTCCCTTTGCATATTCAGACTGATGTGTCACTGTCTGAATTCCCCTAAAACCTCTTAATTTCTCTTCCTTAACTCTGACAGACTCCTAATCCTAGCCTTGTCTGACCTTATTCCCATTCTACTATACACACCCACCTCTTTAAAGTCCTTTCAGACCTTCAGGCAATCACCCAAAATCCCATCCTTGTTTCCTCTCCCTTAACAAATCCTTAGCACAGCACATATTAAACATTACATACATTAGCATACTTTACCATAATACAGTATATTTAATGAATGCAATATTTTCCAATAAAAGTCCAGATCCTTATATTGGCAGCCAACCACTTCTTCAAATGCTTAACATCAGCCTACTATATATTGTACATAGTAGAAAGTTTTGTTTCCCGGAGACCCATTGAATGCCAGGCTTAACATACATTGTGATGCTGCCCCTCGTGTTGTTGTTTAAATGAATATAGTAATTATTGACGAATATGTTCTATAAGCTTTTGTGTCCAGTAAATATGGTCTTGGTGAGCTTTGTTTTTGCATAAATATTAAAAATAAGGCAGGACTCAAAAGTTGATGTCTCTGCTGCTTTATGTAAACAAAAGTATAGTACCATCGGAAAAGCTAATAATGTCACTGCATGTGTATTTATGTGGACTGGAATGGCCTCGATTCAGGAAGTTTTTATTGACCCCAATGGAGGGTGCTAATGCACATTCCCTTTTGCAGCAGAAAGAAATTTTCAGAAAGAAAATTGAGGCTGGATAAAAGGCAGATATAGTACACACTGTGGAGCATTGCATTATGAAGTCAACGAGTGAGGTGCTCCATATCAGAGAGGCTGCCATTGAGAAGACATTTCTATCTTTGGGCTGCCCTAATGAGGACAAGGATCAGATCTATTTAGTCTTATGTAGATTAGATCCATTTAAATCAAAGGGATTAAAATTGCTCATGAGCACATTAAGTGTCTTGATTTTGATGGTTCTGCTCTAAGCATGAGTGACTTGATTTAAAGTTATGTATTTTTCTCAGCCTTTATAAGAGCAAGATTGTTTCAAATGATTATTCAAGATGTTTTGCAATCATGTTTGGGTTGTGCGTTGTAATTTTATTGCTGCTTTTTCAAATATAAGATACCTTGTGAAAACTTCCAAAGTAATGGAATGTAAATATCAAAAATAATATTATAGATATTTGCCGTTTTTCACGCAGATCCCTTGCAGAACCATTTATACTTTGATGGGAAAATTTCTAAATTGTTCCTATCTCAGGGATCACAGCAAACTTGCAACCAAATGGCCATAAAGCAGCATTTCTCAACCTGGGTGTCGGGACCCCTGGGGGGGGGGGTCGCGAGGAGGTGAAAGGGCTTGACAAAGACTATCAGAAAACACAGTATTTTCTGTTGGTCATGGGGGTTCTGTGTGAGAAGTTTGGCCCAATTCTATCAGTGGGGTTCAGAATGCTCTTTGATTGTAAGTGAACTATAAATCCCAGCAACTACAACACTCAAATGTCAAGGTCTATTTTCCCCAAACTCCACCAGTGTTCACATTAGGGCATATTGAGTATCTGTGGCAAGTTTGGTCCATCATTGTTTGAGTCCACAGTGCTCCCTGGAGGTAGGTGAACTACAACTCCAAAACTCAAGGTCAGTGCCCACCAAACCCTTCCAATATTTTCTGTGATTATGAGAGTTCTGTGTGCCAAGTTTGGTTCAATTCCATCATTGGTGGAGTTCAGAGTACTCTTTGATTATAGGTTAACTATAAATCCCAGCAACTACAATTCCCAAATGACACAATCAATCTTCCCAACTCCACCAGTATCGGGGATGTGTGCCACATTTGGTCCAGTGAATGAAAATACATCCTGTAGATCAGATGTACATTATGATTCATAATAATAGCAAAATTACAGTTATGAAGTAGCAAGGAAAATAATTTTATGGTCATCACAATATGAGGAACTGTATTAAGGGGTCACGGCACAAGGAAGGTTGAGAAATACTGCCATAGAAGCATAAAGCATCTTTCACTAGATCTACATACCAGGAAAGAGATCATATGAGGAATTGTAGGAGGCAAGAGTGTAAATAAACCCCTTTCTTTGTTTTCTCTTTCTCTATTTTTTTTCATTAAAAGGTCATTTAGACAAAGACCCTCTGACTTGTCTTCAGTTCATCTCATGTTTTGCCCAGGGTTGCTGAAAGGCCTTGACTCTCCCCACATTTCCTTGCTGTGCATTCTGTTTAAACAGTAAACAACAGATTTATGACAATAAATTGGCGGTACAGCATATGGCAGCCACAAACAAAAGGAAAACAAATCAGCCTTGCTTCCCATGAGGAAGTAAACTATTGTTTGATAAGATCTACGGGTTGATTACTTTTGGATGGA